CCTGCAGCAAGCATCCACTTAACGTTGAATTGTTCAAAGTGGTCCCCTTGAGTTCAGGAATAAGACAAGAATGTCTCTTCTCACTACTTCTTGTACTCTAGGTCCCAGTCAATGCAGTAAGGTAAGAAAAAGAAATGTATATGGATTGGTAAAGAAGAAGTAAAACTGCCATCATTCACAGATGATGTGCTTGTGTATGCAGAAAAATTCTAAGGAAGCTACAGATTAAAATTATTAAGAGAGACTAGCAAAGTCAGTATACAATATCAACATCAAAATACCAGTTATATTTCTATACACCATCAATAAGCACTTAGAAAATGAAATTTAAACCAATATTTCATTTATAGTAGCATACACAATTACCTTGAACGAAATGTAATAATAGACATACAAAACCTGAAGCAAAAGTTATGAAGCTTTGTTGACAGTGTCAAGTGTTTGTGAGAATGTGGAGCAACAGGAACTCTCAAACACTGATGGTGGAAGTGGGAATTGGTACAACTTTGGTATACAGTTTGGTGGTGTCTAGTGAAGTTGAAAATATACATAATCTATGAGCCAGCAATTCCTCTCCTACATATATACGTTGTGTGTGCACATATGTACCAGGAAACATTAAAAATATGTTCTTAGCAACAGTTTTCATAATTGTCCCAAACTGGAAACAGCCCAAATGTCCATTGACAGTAAAAGGATAAATTCTTGTAAAGTCATAGAATGGAAAGCTGTAACACAATACTGGGAATGATGAACCAATGCCACATGCAACCAGGTTGAATCTCAGAAGCATAATTGTAAGGGCAATGAGCTGGATACAGAAGGGTATATGCATTATGGTTCTATTTACATAAAGCTCAAGAAACAATAGTGTTTGGGCATCTATATTTGAGTGGTAAAGCTATAAAGAAAAGTAAGAAAGCAATAGCCAAAACTGTCATGAGAGTGTTTGGTTTGGTTTGGTTTGGGAGACAGGAAAGAGGTTGTGATTGGGCAAGGACTTACAGGAATTTCTGGAGTTCTGGTGTGTTCTGTTTCTTGATCTTTATGGTAATTTGCTCTATAATAATTTGTTAAGTTGTAAATTTATATTTTATGCACTTCCCTCCGCCCCAACCCCCCCCCCCCCGTTAGAGTGTTTTAGAATGTGGAAATTTTAAAATAAGATTTATCTCAGGGCTTGTTGTAAGAATGGGATGAAAGATAAAGCCATGTAGAGCTTGTAGAATATGCCTGGCACTTTGTAAGACCTTAATAAATGTTAACTGTCTAAACACAATACAGATTTGTTGTTATTATTGCTTCTCTTATTTGTTGCCAACCCTGCCCCCTGTCCATCATATTTGTTGCCAGTGTTTCTCAGCTTACTGTTGGTATTTTTGTTAATGCTGTCTTCTGAATTATCGATCTTTTCCTTTATACTTTCTTTCATTAGTCTTAACTATAGAAAGTTCTCTCCAACCCAGAGATTTAACATGTATTGTGTTGCAGCTTTCAAAGGGGTTGCTTTTGAACATTTGATTCCTTTTATTCATTTTATAACAACAAAATATATGATTAAAAATATATGAAAAAATATATGATTAGTACATAATTGCATAAAATCTACATTTACTTCTCAAAGGTGTCTGGGATTCATATTTAGTGTCATGGGAGAAAGGAAACTGGCCTTTTTTCCAATCAGGTAATGAAGTTCTCCCCAGCACCACAAATTGAACAATTTATCTCTCCTCCACTCACTGTTGCAGCTGTCTCCTCTTGCATACTTCAAATTCAAAACCATTTGCACCAAAAGCATAGACTGGAAACTTGATACCTGAACTGAATGTGATAATGCAACTCTGAAGGGAGAGAGGATGGTTGCCAGGCAGCAGGAGGGACAGCTGCAGCAAGGAGAGAATGTGAAAGAAAGGTGGGAAAAGCCTGTGTCAAACAAGTATTCTTTAAAGGCTGCATCCTTGTGTATGGCGCACAAGCCACTTGCTGCTGTGACGTTTGGCTAATTATGTCTGTTGACCTTGTTTTCCTCACGTATCATCTCTATATAATAATAACACCAACCTCATAGGGTCCTGTGCACATGAGGGCTAACTCAAGTAAGGAACACAGACTTTGGGGTCAGTCAGTCCAGTGTCTTATCCTTGACTGTACCACTAAATAACTACATGATCCTAAGTACGTTTTCTAACTTCCCGGCCTGTTTCATCATCTGAAATATGTGTCAATTAATAGTAATTAAATTAGTAGCAAATTAGAAATAGAAAGTAATACTTATCTTGAGGGAGTTGCTATGAAAAGCTAATAATGCGTTTTAAAGGTTTGGCACTGGGTGCCTGGCATGTAATAAGCTTGGAATAAATCGCACTTGCAGTGATTTAAATTTTTATTGCTATTGCGGAAGGATCAGGAAGGGAAAGAATATTCAGCAAAAGAGACTGAGAAGTAGGCACCAAAAAGATCTGGGAGAGGGAAACCGTGAGATGATGTCATGGAAACAAGGGAAAATAGTATCAAGAAGGAGGGAGATAATGCAAAAGGAGGTCATTCAAAGGCTGGTGTCTCCTGACAAGACAAAAGAGCAATTTTCATCTCTTAGCGACTAATGAGAATGAAGGGAGAAAGGAAAGGAAAAAACAATAATTATAAATGAAGGGTATTGAACACAAAATTTTCTAAAAGCCTTCTTTCACTCAACCCTGTGATCACTCCAAGTCTTCTATGTCTTCCAATTGGGCAAAATACATACTTCTTGAATAAAGGAAAGCCAGTGTGACACAAAATGAAATAAAAAGTATCACTTTTGCATCATTTTGGTGAAGTAAAAATTTAGACAGTTTCAGGTTTACACAACAGAGGACAGGATGAGGGGGGAAGGAAAGGGGATGAATTACAGAGCAGGGTTTCAAAGTAATGATCTTGAACCTCCAAGCTAATTCCAGTGAAAAGGAGGGTGGGGGTAGGTGTAGCATTTACTCCTCTTTTCACTCTACCTAGTTTCAGAAAGAAATCATGACAGCATATCTAGGTAAATCATTCAATAGCATTTATAGATTGAATTTGAGAAAAGGTGAGCAGGAAGTGGAACTATATTCTAATCTTGGAGAGATGAGTGGGCAAATCCCCTCCAAGGATAGATTGCAGGAGAGGTAGGAAGGAATAAGGGGCTGTAAGAGCCAGGTAGTGTTGGGGGACCCTGTGGCTTTGGGGGCTTGATGAAGCTGCCTCCTGCCTGGGTGGTGGGTTCCTCTTCGCCTGTGGTGAGATGGAGGTGGCTGCCAGGGGCCAGAGGTGCCCCAGATGGATGCAAAAAGTGGGTCTCTTGAACCTTTACTCCTGCTCAGTTCTCAGCTAAAAGGTCAGAGGCAGAGGGGCCCTCCCAGTCTACTGGACATGAGCATTAAGGAGGCTGAGGCTTAAGGCCATCATGGAATGCGGAGGAGGGGGAGGTGGTGATGGGCAGAGCACATGAGGCTGAGCCTCCATCTCCCCCCACCAAGAGGTGAGTGTGGCTCCAGGGAAGGGGAGTGGTGGTAAAGTGCAATTGTGAGAAAATGGATGGAGCAAGGGGGATAGGAATGAGATTGCGGGGATATGGATGAAGCAGGGGGATCTGAATGAGACTGTGGGGATATGGATGGAGCAGGGGGGATATGAATGAGATTGTGGGGATATGGATGGGGCAGGGGGGATCTGAATGAGATTGCGGGGATATGGATGAAGGAGGGGGGATCTGAATGAGACTGTGGGGATATGGATGGAGCGGGGGGATAGGAATGAGACTGAGGATACAGGTGGAGCAGGAAGGATCTGAATGAGACTGTGAGGATATGCATGGAGTAGGGGGGATCTGAATGAGATTGTGGGGATATGGGTGGAACAGGGGGATAGGAATGAGACTGAGGATACAGATGGAGCAGGAAGGATCTGAATGAGATTGTGAGGATATGCATGGAGCAGGAGGGAACTGAATGGGATTGTAGGGATATGAATGGAGCAGGGCGGGTATGAATGAGACTGTGAGGACATGGATTGAGCAGAGGGGATAGGAATGTGATTGTGGGGATATGGATGGAGCAGGGTGATAGGAATGAGATTGTGGGGACATGGATGGAACAGTGAGGATAGGAATGAGATTGTGGGGATATGGATGGAGCAGTGGGGATAGGAATGGGATTATGGGGATGTGGATGAAGCAAGAGAAAGGGACCAGGGAAGAGCAGAGTTGGGGGTGATTCTGGAAGGAGAGCACTCCAAGGCAGATTCTGGGCCTGGCAGCCCTGGGAAGGCTGCATTGGGCTCCTTGCAGTGTGTGGCTTCTACCCCTCCCTGGGGGACTCAGCCTAGACCCTTTTGTCCCCCATCGGTCTGCTAGCCTAATTAGAGTCCCAACCTCCACTCCTCCCACCACATAGCCCAGGGTTCTGTGTGAAACCTGTGGGTCTGCAGTTTCTGCCAGGCCTCCTGTCCCTGTCACTGTAGATGGGAGCCCACCAGCCTGGCCATCATACCCCTTCCCCTCTCCCCCTGTCCTTCTGTCCTCCACCTACATAGCTCTGTGCTCCTTTCCCTGAGGTGCCAGCTCTGGCTGCTGCACACCCTGTCTCGTCAGCCCAGGGGCCCCCTCTTTCCTCCCAGGCAAACTCCCTCAGGTCCTCAGGTCTGCATTCATTTCACTCCACTCCCTGCCTTAAATGAAATCATTCCTCCCTGCACCTTGTCAGTCTTGACCTCTTTGTGAGGATAGGGACTACTGTACCTACAAGAAAGTTGGGACCCTCGGGGATAGAGGTCACATGTCATCTTTTATCACCCTCTAATCTGAGGTCAAGAGATGGGGCAGGAGTAGTTGTCCCTTCCCAATACAAACAGGAATGGAGCTTCTGGAATACCCATTTTCAATTTTTGTCCCTGCTGTTCCCCATCTGATGTCTCATGATATATTCAAGAAGAAAACATTGGAACATTATTAACTCATGGGTGCAGGAGTTGGCTTTATGACCTAGGAGACAGGTCAGTTGTGTTAAGGGGTTGTATGGGAGATATTCAGTCCATTTCAGTTTCCTTTCTCCTTTCCTATAAATGAGGTTGATAAAAACCCATCCTCCTAGTATGACCCCCACTTATAGCTTCTATATTTAGTTTCATTTTTCTTTATCTTTCTAAAAGTAACATCACACAGAGATGTGAAATAAGATGTTTATATATATTCATTGACATAGAAGTCCACAAGATATATTATTTGGTGAAAAATACACAGTATAGAACAGCATTTATATTTGATCACTCTTATCTATACATGTATCTCTCTGGGTACACAGGTACAGGGAGATATCTGGAAGGACATTCACCAAAGGGCTGACAATGGTTACAAAAGGGTGCTGAGTTTCAGGTAATTTGTACTTTAGTTTTTGTATCTTTCTTTATTTTTGAAGGTTTATTGAAAAGATGCTCCTTTCATAAAAAGTAGAAAGTCATCAAAGAAATAGACACATGGAGAACAGACTCTTAAGCCAGCAGAGAAGGGAACATGGACAGAGGTCACACCATTCCCCTCCACTGTGCTGGTATACAAGACCTCTTCTCTTTCCCAAAGGAAAACTGCTTTGTGGATTCATGCAGTTAGAAACCCACCCTCCTCTCCTGTTATTCCCATTACTCTGAATACAGTTAAGAACTCATTTAGGGCTGGGTCTAGATCCTTACTGTGGCTCAAAAGCATCACTGTGTTCTCCAGGGACGTCTTTTGACCTGTCCTCTGTATGTGTCAGCTCCTGCAGGGTGATGATCAGATTCTCAAAAACCTGGGCCTTGTTGCTCTCATTGTCACAGGTTTCTTCTGAGTGGCCCTCCTTACCACAATATGAACAGCAGATTGTGTATTTTCACTTCCTGGCTCTACAAATATTCCCAGGACCATCATTCTTATACCCAGAACCACCACTGGTAGAAAGAGACTGAGCCCCAGAATTGTTGGGGGAATCAATAACCAGCACTTGATCCAGAGGTCTGGCTCTTCCTCTGAAGGGAGGGACACCTGTGGGTGTCAGTGGAGGGTCCAGAGACACCACCAGGATCACATCCTCATCGGAGTCATCAAGGGTATCATCTATTTCTATCACGTTGCAGTTACAGTTAGCACTGCCGATTGTTATTGACTGGGCACCCTGAAATGCCACAGGGCTGGCTGCCTTCTCCATAATTGGCCCAGACCTTTTCGGCCGCTTCCGTTTAATAAAAGCATCATCCCAATCCTCTTCCTCCCTTATCATCTTGATTAACTCCAGGAAATTGGGAAGCCGCTCCTGCGCATTTGCATACATCCTGAGAAGATGCTTAAATTTAAGCCTGAAGCACAGGTCCCTATTCAGCTCGGTGCCTAAAAGAAGCTGTTGCAAGCCAGTCTGGTTTGCATCTTTCTCAGCTAGGATGCCAGCCTGAATAGCATTCTGGAGCTGCAACTCTAAACGGATCACATAAAGGGAGGCTTTCTCCCCTAGTGCCTGCAGGGTGTTAACAAATTTACCATGGGCAGTCACACTGCTTTCAAACTCCCCAAACACCAATTTCATGGCCCGCAAGAAATCTGCTACACTTAGGTTGGGGTTGGCCGCCTGAAGCAAACGCATGACCTCCCGGGCAGGGCCCCTAAGTGTTTTCATCAAGCGCTTGAGTTTTTCCTCCTCAGACATACTCCAATCTGGCAGGACCCCATTGACTTGGATCAGCCAGTTTTCAAAGGTTTCTTTCCCCTGGGCTGGCACCACTCTCCCCGAGAACAACTTCATGTTTCTCTCTGCCATGTTGACCACGAAAGGACCGAGACTCCTCCCCAGAGACCTCAACATGGAATGGGCCCAAGGCGGCAAAGGTGCATTCTGCTGCCTGCTGTTACCCACACGCGCAATGATGCTAGCCATGACTGACGACGATAGGGTATCTGAATACAACAAGATACTCGCGCTTTTTGGAAAAGCCTTATCTGCAGGATTCTCCAAAGCAACGTTCATGGGCTGTGCCTGCCTTGTATTTCAGTAGGGATTCTAAGGAAAATAAAAACGGTTAATAAGATAGTGGGCTGTGGGGAAGCAGTCTGTAGTAGCATTCTCGATCTTCCTGAATAACGTTGTAGTGCATTTTATATCTGCCCAGTGCCTTAACAATACCCTGCAGGAGACTGGCAATTACAACATTCCAGAGCTAGCAGGTTTCCTTGGACTAGTAGGTAGTTTTTCAGAGCCACATCCATCCACTCTGCCTGTACTCCAGGAGGGGCGACAACTGTTGCTTCTAATTCTAGATGACATAGTGTTTGGAGCTTATACTGGGCCCTCAAAACGGAACTCAATGGTTGTGGGTCACAGATTTATGGTAATAAGAAACCATTAATCTCATGGCCTCAGGTCTCAATCACATCCCCTTGTCAACGTTTCCCCCGTTATTTCTCAGATTCTTACATGAACTCGGAAACTAGCGTTCGCCTTTATTTTACGTGCAGCCTCTGCAACAGGTACCTGCCGTGAGAAAATTAACCTCTGGGGTAGAGCCGACTTTTGTCCACTGGGGGTCGCAGGTCCCAGTCCTCAGGGCCTCAAGACTGTGACGCGAAGGAGGGAAAGGAAGGATTGGAAGCAGCTTCATCTGAAAACCTGATACCTCCTCTCCACCAGCTTCACTGTCACCAGGCGGAAAATTCCCTCTCCCATCTTCTGAACGCAAGCCAAAGTGCCTCCTGCCCCCATCCCCACTCCGCCTTACATTTCCTCCGGGAGACCCTCGCCCTACCAGCTCTGCAATCCGCCGCACAGAATCCAAGTTCGGATTTGGCTTTGATGACCTGCCAGGGAGAAAGAGACTGGAAGTTGGATAACCTCCCACCCCCATATTCCTTCCCAGGAAGAGAGGAGGAGATGCAAAAGGGGTTCAAGACAGCTTGCGATCGTCTCCTCCCGCCCCTTGCCACCTCCCCGAACACACCCCCACCCCCGATGCCCGACAACACCCCCGATCTCCGACAACACCACGACCCACCTTAATCCAGGCAAATCCTAAATCCCACCCAGTTGGCAGCATCCAGATGAACCACAACTCCCTCCTCAGCGCAACCAGGCCAAGGGAATGCTCCATCCCCTGCCTCGCAGTTACTGATTCTCCAAGCCAGGCGCCGCCCAGTCCTGGCGGGGCTTCCACCACCCCTCTCCGCGCCGGGCAATCGCGCGCTCTTTCTTTACCTGCGCTCCACTGGTAGGCAGCATGTGCTCCCGCGTCGACAGCTCTGTTTTGCCTTCCGGTCCCCGTAGCTCTGCAGGGGAACGGTATCTCTGGCGCCTCCTCGGCCGCTAAGCGACCCGGGGCTGCCAGACCTAGCGAGAGCTTCGCATGACCGCCCAGTAAGGGGTAGCCGAGTTGAGGCAGCGCGGTTCCCAAGGCAGCCAAGGCTGCGCCCACCCTCCGGTTCGGCCCTCCGGGCAGCAGCGGTTGCTTTCAGTCTCTGCCCATTGAGACAAAAGAGCGTGACGAGCCGGGCGACGCGGCCAATCAGCGGGGCGAGGGGGCGGCCTCCCCGCGCAGCCTCCGGCCCCGAAGCTACTGCTAGCAAGAAGGGGGTGCGGGAGGGCGGGGGCTGCGGCAGACAGGCGCGGGAGCCGGCACGGCGTCAAGTGCAGCTCGGAAGCACGGACTGGGCCCATTTCCCTTTCATCCGTGAGTTTGCTGCTACCCCATCGCTTCCCTTCTCCCTGTCCCCTTCCACCTCGGCTCTCCTCCCGGCTTTGAGACCGGATGCCTTAAACACGAGGTGGGACAGAAACCAAGTGAACAATGAGAGTTCCTCACCTTTGTATAGGCGGAAGGGGGGAAACAGCGTTTACTGAGTGCTTTTTGTGTGCAGAGGCGCCTGCATGAACATCTCCTTTCCTCTTCTCAGCAGCCCTGTGAAGGAAGTAGCAGCGTACCTATTTAACAGGAAAGGACTGAAGCACCCAGGCAGTACAGTTAGGAAGTGCAGAGCTAAGAGCTGACACCCAAGTCAACATGTCTGACTTCAAAGGCTGCCCCTTGCCAACACTCCTCTGTTCTGTCAGATTAAGGGATAGTGGAGAAAAACCAAGGCCAGGATGGGAGGACCAACTTGGGATTGCATAGAATTGGTGAGCAAGAACCGTTATCTCCATTTCACAGATGAAGAAACTGAGCCAGAGAGAGAGAGGTTACTCGTTTTGGCCTGTATCCTGCAGCAAATAAGTTACAGCATCCAACCTAGCACCTGTATGTTGCTCTCTAGATGCTAATTCTTTGCCCTGCAGCGCTGCCTGGAGAGTATTTTTGCACAGGTAGTCTCAAACCATCTCAACAGCAGTCTCAATGTGATGATAGTGCTGAGGGAGGGGGTGAAGAGGTAGTGGGGACAGGGCTGAGGGAAGATGGAGGCAACCTTTATGGTGCCCATTGTACAGAAGAGGAAACTCTTTTTGACACTTTTCTTTCTTGTTTCTTTTTTTTTATTATTATTAATCTTTTTTTCTTTTGCTTTTTTGTTTTTTTAACACAAGCTGCCTGTTTTTTAAAAGCAACATTATTTCTACAGCCCTTTGTGACCCCAAAGAGGCCAGGCTCAGAGAGGTAAAATGATTTATCTGAAAATACAAGGTGAAGCCAAAATTTGAACCAAGTCTCTGAATCCAGAACTCATGCTATTAACCAAAGTGTGAGTACAAGGTGGGCTGCCTCCGAGCCATTTTGGAGAGCTTGTTATAAATGCAGCTTATTGGGCCTTACTCCTGGGGGATTTTGATGTACTAGGACTAGGCATGAAGAGTGTGATTTGTAGTTTTAACCAGCCCTGTAGTTGATTCTGAGGTGTAGAGAGATTCGTGAACCACTGTTCTAAACACCACCACGTGATGCTGAAGGTTATGAGTAAATGGGCCTGTTATCAGTGTATCTGTCCATGGCATATCTGTCATGAAATGTAACTCTAGAGCACAGATTCCTACCCGCGGTCCTTCCTGGAATTGTTAGCAAAGAATCTGGACTCCGTACATTCTTCTGAGTCCACAGCTTTGCAGATTTTCAAATGGGTCTGTCATAACATCTTCCTTCTTCAAGCCATGCTTGACGAAGAAGTGTGAGAAATAAAACCCCATTTAACCTAACCCCCAAACCACAGCTCTCTGTTGCTGATATAGCTCTTTCATTTCCTGGCTCAAGGACAGGTTGCTAGGTTGCCCTTCTGTGAGCTCTTCAGGGGACTTCTCCTTTGCTGGATTTGGCATCACTGGCCCCAGAGAAAGAGCAACTCCATGGAAACGGCATGCAGGGTTGTCCAAAGTGAATGGCCGTGAAGGCAGTGGCTGGAAAACCTGCTCCATTTTTCCCTGACTTAGAGAGCAGGTATTACTTCCTTTATGTATAGTGTGGCTAGGAGGCTCCTGTGGGGCCTGTTCTTGACTCCTGATGTTTAGAAGCAAGTAAACAGTCTGATGCCCTTCAGCTGCTGTTGGCTTCATCTTCAGTCTGCCAAGGTACTTCACTTGCTCCTTTCCACCCTCTTATTTACAACCCCAAGATCTAGAGTTCCTTGGAGTAAACAATATAAATTTGGAGATGAAGCACCTTCCATCTCAGGATCACGGCCTGTGGATGGAACAGTGGGGTAGTGGTGGTGGAGGGTGGAAAGTGTGGATGTATGGATAAGGCAGGTTGCTCACCTTGCACACTCAGGGGTGATGCTGGCAGTAGCTCTTAGGTTTCCTTCAGACTTTTGCTTCTGCTCCCCTGTCCCATGACATCTGACTCTTGCCTCCCAGAAGACTCTTGTTCAGTGTTTAAATTGGCTTCATCATCAAATTAGGTATTTGCAGCTGGACTTGGTAGGGATGGAATCACATAAAACCAAGAATAGGTCTCAGAGCTCTGACAAAAATAATGATGGGAAATGGATTGTGTAAAGTGGCCAGGGTTGGGCTACTAGAACAAAGCAAGGGACTCTTCATGCAGGGATGGGGGGAATATTAGCAACCTGGCTCAAGTTGGATACAGGATATCCTATCTCTGGCCTCATGTGTATGAGTGTGTTCCAACTGATGGCTCTAATGAGACCACATTTTCTAATTTCAAAAAATAAACCTTAAAGGCTTGAAGGTTTGGAGATAAAGCTTTCAGCTGAAACAATAATAGCTGCCTTTGGCTGCCTGCCTCCTTTGTGCCAGGAACTTTCTATCTGTTATCTCATTTAAGCTTCTCAGTAACCCTGTTGAGACAGCCATTGTATCCCATTTTGCAGACAGGGAAACTGAATTTCAGGGATGTTACGTAACTTGTGTTAGGCTTCACAACTTGTAAGTGGAGGCACTGAGACTGCAGGCCAGGGATGTCAAACACCAAAGCCCATGAAAACTCTTCTTTGCTGCCTTCCAAACAAGCAGTCCAAAATGCATTCTGCAGATGACCCAGTTCATTA